CTAACACCATTTCTTGTAATATCCTTGCCAAAATAATTATTAAATCATATCATGTTATCAAAGTCTTTGGTTTTAACAGGCTCGAAAAGGCAACGATCATTTAATTATCACATAATGATTGACAACTTATGTTTGATATTTTAATATTCATTCAAGAAACACCGTCCATAATTTTTTAGGAACCATGAATAATACATGAGGAAGGTTCATGGGAAAAATGTCTTCCGTATTTCTTTTCTAAGAAGGGTTGACTGTTGTTTTAAAGACTGAAATGAGACTTTACTACAATGTACAAGGTTTATTTCGTTGATGAAATCCCCCTACCACATACATCACCAGATTACTTAAATATATCGCGCGTTTACTCATGAGTTGCTCGTCGCCCATAGCACAGATTGTATTTAATCTGTGTCCATTGTGTATTGCTATACAATTATTCCAGGGCTGCTTACGGTAATATTACCATTGAATTTATAAATTGTAATGCTAACCCAATCTTGAAAAACCACAGTGATCTGCTAAGATGCCTAATATTTGAAAATAAGGATTCCACCCTTGTTCAATCCAGCAAACCAAGCCGGGGTAGTTGGTTGGAAGTAGGAACGAAGTCGTTTGTTACCATTTTTTCCTACACTACTTACATTAAATGGACTGTATTGCAATAGGACCGAATTTCCCCGCTAAAATTCGATTTGAATATTCGCGGTTCGTATTTTCTAAAAAGAAATAAGGAGCAATCCGAATTCCAAACCGAAAGAAATGAAAGGAATTAAGTTTTGTTTCGTCTCCGTGGAACACGTGATTTTTTTTCTTCTTTGTCCTACATTCAAATGGGCCATAATTTACAATAAAAGTCCCAAACATAACGTTATACGAGGGAAGTTAATGATCCACATCGATCTGACGACTCAGTGCGAGTCGAGTTAGTCAATACTAAGGTGACGTGTTTCTTTTGTCTTTCGTTTATTGCATCCATCCAGTAATAATATGATTGGGTTAGATTACTTGCCAAATTAACGGGATTCTACAGATGCATTAGGTGAATGCCATTGCAGAATTACTAAATTCAAAAAGTGTCAAGATTCCAGGAACATTCAACCAAACAAATAGCACTCATAAGTTCAAGTTTTTATTTTGTCGATTGTAATACAGTGAGCTTTCGTCCTTTTCTCACACCTTTATAAATGAGTGAATTGTTCTAAATTGTATTGTCGGATTTTAGTGTTGAATTACACGTTTTCCTGAAAGCTCGTTATTTGGCCCCAGTGGAAAATTTACGTGGTGATAAAGTTCAAGTTCATTTGGAGAATTGAAAGCGACTCCGGGTAAATTGCGTGCTTGAATGCAGAAAAGTCATAGGTGCCAGTCACAACTCACAAGGGATTAAATTTTTAGAAAATTAAACCAAGAGGTATTTACGCATTCCGGCGTGGAAGAAAAAGCAACTCGTATTCGTGTGTAATTCCGTTAGTAAAGAACACAGTTCCGTGTGTATAAATAAAAGCGCTCGTCCGTAATTCCTTAAAAAACAAAATTACAACAAGGAAAACTGTTAGTAAAACCAAATAATATTCAAGTTCATATTCCTGCCGACAAGAAAAAAAGGCAGTCAGTTAAAAACCAGGTTTTAATAATCCCATTAAATTGCGACCCTTTAAGACGGTTAAATCTGATCGTGAGATTTAAAAAGATTCATTTAACTCCCGCATATAAAAAAAGGATTCGAATTCTAATTTCCTTTAGATTGAACTTGGCGTTTAGAATTCATTCATTCATCCGCAGAAACAAGGATTTGAATTCTAAATCATTTTAAAAGGTCCCCTAGTATTACTAGTAATGGCCCTTTCTTGTCTAGGAAGTATACTGGAAAGAGTTCGTATGAATTTCCATCAACTTCCTAGCGGAACTCCCAAAAAAACTTTTGGGAAAATTCGTCACAGTAGAATCTATGGGATTTCACATATTCGTGTATTCCAAAAAGGTTTTTTAGAGATTTTCTTCTAAGAACCTTCAAACCAAATGATATGTACTAAGGAAATTCACCGGCGTTAGTAATAGCACCTCCATTGCCATAGAATTGTGATCGTATTCAGTTAGCAATAGAATTTAGGAATCAGATCTTTATCTACCTCCTTGGAATATGACTTTGTGGTAGGAGCGGTGAGTCGATGTCACTTTTCAATCGTAACCAACCCCTAAGAATACCATCATTTTATTAAACCACACGCGAACAAAGATTTCGTTTTTGGGTATTTTTTTGATAAAATCTTGTAGAAGGTTTCGGTTGAAGAAGAAGGCTTGTTGCAGAAGCAGTTGATATCTGCAAAATCCAAATGCACGAGTCTTATTAAGAATATGAAATGCTACAGTTAGCGTGCGTGAATAGGACGCATCTTTCAACATAGTCTTAAATGAATCATTATAGCTGGTATAATATGAAGGAAATGTCAAATCTTCTACCCTGTGGCGAATTCATTAAAAACACAATCAATACTGCGATTAAAATATGGAACAGATTTGGCAGCATATCTTCGCCAAACCACGTTTGTGAAAGCTTCTAACAAAGGCTACGAATCAAAGACATCTTTTGTACTCAAAAAGTGATCTAATAAGATTTATTATTTCAGTCCCAAATCATAGTTTCATATGTCATATTTGAAGTAACGTTACTCAGCAGCCTTTAAAGCTAGGCGTGCTTTAATCACCTTTTTTCGCATGTTCAGGCGTGTTCTAAACAGCAATTCTGATGCGATTATAAAAATAGTACTTTGTGTACCACGGTGAGAAAGTGGATGTTTTCCGGGTCGAAGGAAGATAAAAGCATCAAATGAGTGTGGAGTGACATTCAATTGCTACTGTAAGTTATGTTTCTCTTACACTCATAAAATGCTTATTGGGTTTCCTTCTAGCTTATTTTAAGTCAATAATTTCTTTCCATCCCAGTATATTCCATAGATAGACATAGTCTACAGCCACTAAATCTGTGCTAACATATGTACGAGATATAGCCATCTGTAGAATACCGATCATGCGCACTGAGTACATTCCCGGAATTTCACTGGCGTGCAGCGTGTTATAAAGACGTGTATAAAGGGGTTGATGGTGTTGTAGTTCATACCAAGCGAATGACCAATTTTGTATGGGGCGTAACTCGGGATGTCTTGGGTCCGCCGAGTGGGTTGCGGTTCAAACTGTAGCAAATTTTTTTTATTTTAAAAAGTATAACTGACCCTGTGATCTGCAAGTGCCTCCTAATAATATTCTTTGAGATGGCGTAATTTTGTCTGGTTGAACACAACACACTTGAATCCTAAGTTCTTTTTCAGAATGTCCATTATAGAACGGTTTTTTAGAGAACTATTTCAAAGGAAATTCAAAAATACCGGTGGCATCGCAATTAGTTTATTCGAAGTAGGGAGCTGAGACTGAAGATTCAAGTATTTGCAGTTTTATCACTGAAGATTGGGTTATCGTAGAGTAACGATGCGACTTTCGATTCTTCTTGTCTTCAGGTAGTAAAAATCTGAACCATGGAGAAACTAATTCGAGCGAAACCATGTCACTTTCTTTACGAGTAAGGGCCGGTTTTACAATTACACTTTTACGGAGAATAAGATATTCCTGGAATAACTGCCATAGCAACATGTATGCCATTGGTTGACACAATGGTAACCAACGCAACCGTCGACATTTATTCTAGGTAAGTATAGCTTATTCTCGGCATATACCTTCATTGTAGAATTGGGCCTAAGTAAACTGATGACGAAACCTATACAAAGTGTTTCGAGGAAGCTGATGAACGTATATTACCAGTAGCTAATTCGGTATAATATAAATACGTCTTCGTGTGGCACAAATGATGTTTCCACCCTAAAATTAGTATGTAATACAAAGGCATGTCTGTCAGCAGGCTTTTACGCGCCAGTGAGATTACTAATGGAGCCACATTCTTCAATTGATATTGGCTTTGTGATGTCTTTTAAGCATTCTAGTACTTTACAAGGATTAAGGCTGGTCGTCCACTGGAAGCGAAAACAAGCGGCTTCGAGCTTACGCGACACGAGCGTCAACACGCGACTACGCGCGGCAGATCCTAAATATTGTATTTTAATGTAACCTCGTCCACTGAAAGAAAGTTTGAACGGGCGGCTATGAGCGTAAACGTGCGCGGGCTACAATTCCGAGCAGAATGGGATTTACGCTCGTAGCCGCTTGACGCATCTGTCTGCAAAAAAAATTGCCGAAAAAGAAAGTGCCAAGAAAGGGGTTGAAACGAAGAAATCTTCTGAGAAGAAGGTGAACAATGCAATGAATCATGGTGATGCCTCAAAAACAAATCAGGGGAAGAGCAAGGAAGCTGATAAAGCTTATTTGAACACTGCACCTGTTGTACCGGTCGGAATGGGCCCTCTCTCGTCTACAGCCACCAGCGGAAAACGCAAAAAAATAACATCTAATAAAAAATCGAGCGGAAAGGCTGATTATTGTGATGAAGAATTCTTGGAAATAGAAAGAGAAAAATTGCAGTTGTTTTCCGAGAGTACAGCGATGAAGCGATGGGTTTTTGAAGCGTACTACCGCATTTGGAAAAGATTCCAGAAAACCGACAGCTAAGTGTACGGAACAAAATTCAACAAGTGCTGATCGACGAAGAAGAACATCCCCATCTAACGTCGCCTACCCGTCATCTTATTCGTCTTGAATGTCAGGTCAGAGAACTAGACCTTCTTCTTATTCAGAAGAGACATTAGATGCTACTCCACTATCGTTCCGCCGGAGCAGCCTACCACAACAACCACAATCTTTGTTTACTTTGCAAAATTTGAATGATCCTGGAAAAAGTCGATGGTTCAAACCGTCATGATGATCTACTACAGTACCCTTTTGTTACGTTGCAATAATAAAATTCCTAAATATATATAATGAAAATGAGTTTTTCTTCCCTTAGTGTTACACTGAGACGTTCTTCAGGTGATAATAGTTTCTCTGAAATTAGACTCTTTCCAGATAATTGTTTTTATAGAATTCAAAATTTATAAAATACGTCTACCCATTCGGTAGTAATCAAAAAACTTCGGATGGTCGTTTTCTAATTCGCGATGGAGATGATTGAATTCACCGAGACGCGCCCTCTTTTCCAGTATAGGGTTTACCCAATACAATCTTCTTTTTTGAACTCTTTTCCGCCTTTTGTAAGGAGTTTCTAAAAAATACCCGTCTTCTGCATCCATTTCAATATTTAATCGCAAAAAGCAACAACTACTATTCAACGTCGCGCGTCGCTACTACTGTCAGTGAAACAGCTTGCAATGGACGACCCCTGTCGCACAAGATCGCTTATCTTATAGCCGCTTGTTGACGCTCGTATCGCGTAAGCTCGAAGCCGCTTGTTTTCGCTTCCAGTGGACGACCAGCCTTAAGCTTAAAGTTTCTAACTACCTACCTACCGAGCTACCTAGCGATTCAAACAGGACATTTTCGGGAGATTTTTACGAATTTTAGAAGTAGATTATAAAGACTAATAAAATTGTAAAAAAATTCTATAACGATTCCAGGAGGAGGAGTATAACAACATTATATGGGGGAAGGTATTGCAAAGTACTTGCAATAAACATTTCATATTTCCTCCCGGGATGGTAAATTGAGCAATTTGTTTGAAAACTACTCAATTGATTAGTAATCAGAATAAAGGAAGAGCTTCTTTTATTTAATCAATGGCAGCAGGGTCCATTAAACGTTGGGGCATTCGGTTCTCCTGAGGGACAAAACGTCTAAACCACGGAGAGATCAACTCAGATCGTGGTATATCACCATCTTTACGAGTAAGTAGACTGGCTATGTATCCCACTGTAATTGTTATAAGGAAGCTAATTAAAGTGTAATACCAATAGTTGATTCGGTATAGCACAAATACCTCCTCCTCCTCCTGTTTCAGCAATCTAAAAATTAGTATGAGACTGAGCATTGGGGTAAACGCTTACGTGATCGTGGAATTAATTATGGATTCACAATTTTCTATCGACATTGGTTTTAAGTGATCTTTAATGAGTCCTTTATATTTGAAGTACTGGTGACCGACGAATAACCATACCACGAACACCACAGCTGTAGCACTTCCTACCAAAGCGCCCTTAAATAAAGTGTGAGTAACTTCTTGACACAGGAATAAGAATCACCGCAGCATTTGATTTAGGAAAAACCAATCCTAGCGTGTACAGTGCGACCACGGGTCCTCCAAAGATGCCAAAGAAGCTGGTCATTGTTGGAAGTATTCCTCCAAGATTCTGAATGAGGTATGTAAGTATAACGCACACGCCTCCAGCAAGAAGGACAATTATTTTCAAAATTGTATCTCGATGTTTTTCATTCATTTGTGGCGAAAGGACCGGTTCCAAAAAATCGCAGTAAAGTATGGCCTGTAACGAGTTAAAAGATGTTGATAAACTACTCAATGCTCCGCTAAATATTCCCGCAATAAATAAACCCGGTAATCCAAACACTTGTCCTGCGGTATCCATCACAAAGTATGCAACGATTTGATCGTAGTTCTTAATTTTGTAGCTCAGCAGGGGATCACAATGAGAGTAACGGGAGTAGATGGTAAGTCCGATTAGCACGACAAAAACCGTCATTGCGATAAGACCCAGCAGTAGCAAACCCATCGCCCTAAAATAGAACTCTCTGGCAAGAAGTGAGAATATATGCTTACTTATGCGCGTCCTCGTATGATCGAAGTGACTTCAATCGTTGTAGCGTCGGTTGACCCAATGTAATGGGCATCATAAGCATTAGCGAATAGGAAAAGACAATGGTATAAATAGACTCTCGCGTTGTGAGGTCCAAATTGAACCTAAAAGGGTGTTATGCTCATAAAATAACTTTAATGCTTTACCTTAGTATGTCCAAACGTCCACCTTTAACCGACTCGGACCACACAGTACCTAGCCCACCGTTTGCGTTGAATCCAATTATCAACACAACAATTAAGCAGACATTCATGACAATGGTCTGCAAGGCATCAGTCCACACGACCGCGTTGAAACCTCCCAGAGTAGTGTAAAAAACGCAAATCAGACATGTGACGATTGATATGATCTTGCCGGAAAAGCCAGTCACTAAGATAAGAGTTGGTTTTGAAAATCCTCAATCTTTGCTTACTTACTTTGCTCTAGTAGAATACTGGGTACGTATAAAGTAATCGGGCAGAACAACACTGCTCGGATGACCCAAAGCATTGACGCAATCAACCGCACTTTTCGAGTGAACCTTACTTCCAAATAATAAAAGATACTAGCCGTTTCCAAATTGACTAAAACTGGCATCGTTATAAACATCGCACAGAAAATGGCAACGGTATAAGAGACGGGCGACCAGATATACATTGCTCCAAACTGGTATATGTCGGACGGAAATCCTACCAAGAGGACTCCAGACACGTTGCTAAAAATTGCATTAACTTCGCCCTTTCGCTACTCACTTACCTGGCGATCAACGAAGCGACCACCGCAAGAATATTCGTTTTTCCGCCCAAAATGTAGTCATCACGCTCCTTCCTTTTTTTACGAAATCCAAAATATACGCCGATCATTAAGCTACATCCCAACAGGCTGCACAAAATTGCGTAGTCCAGCCAAGTAAAGGAGTAACCGACCATTACTGCTTGTATCAGCAATAATTGCCGGCTGGTTTAGTTTTATACGTAGCAATAATGAATATCCCAAAATGAGTCTAAACAAAATGCGAGGCTCATTATTTTTTAATTGATTACACAAGAACTAAGTTTATCACCGTTTTTTTTCATTTTACAACACGCTAATTGATTGATAACACAATCTCTTTTCATTGCCAAAATGAAATGCAAATTCATTGACCATTTAATTATCACATAATGATTGACAACTTATGTGTGATGGGAAAAAAGGATCCAAGAAACACTGCAACTAACACATTCATTTAACGATCACATTGCAGCAGCAAAGCTTTATCTGGTCCTTTGCGGTTTTTTAACGGTATCAATCAAAAGTTATACCAATTTCGAAAGAAAATTCAAAGGACTGTAACTTTGGAACTAGTAGCCCAATCTTCGAACTGTTTGAAATTATGGATTCTACAGGGCACATTCGATAAGAAAATGTTTTTTCCGGGTCGATCTGAGACAAATTTTTTTTTCTGGGCTCAAAAAAAGGCAGTACTAAAAATCGACTACACCAAAGTTTCTCGGGAAAACACTTTTTCTTATTAATTTTGGGGCGTAGAATCCAAAACAATTCGTACTTTTTCGATTAGACTTCTCAATCAAACGTTATAGACTAGAAACCAGTTTCGAAAGAAAATTCAAAGGCCTGTAACTTTTGAACTAGTAGCCCAATCTTCGAACTGTTTGAAATTATGGATTCTACAGGGCACATTCTATAAGAAAAATTTTTTTCCCGGTCGATCTGAGACAATTTTTTTTTCTTCCGAAAAAAAAGGCAGTGTATAACCTTCCTTTTTTTTACTAAAAATCGACTACACCAAAGTTTCTCGGGAAAACACTTTTTCTTATTAATTTTGGGGCGTAGAATCCAATACAATTCGTACTTTTTCGATTAGACTTCTTAATCAAAAGTTATAGACTAGAAACCAATTTCGAAAGAAAATTCAAAGGGCTATAATTTTTGAACTAGTAGCCCAATCTTCGAACTGTTTGAAATTATGGATTCTACGGGGTACATTCTATAAGAAAATTTTTTTTCCCGGTCGATCTGAGACCATTTTTAAGGCAGTGTATAACCTTCCTTTTTTACCAAAATTTCTCGGGAAAACACTTTTTCTTATTAATTTTGGGGCATAGAATCCAAAACAATTCGGACTTTTTCACCAGGATCCAGTGTGTCCACTAAAAGTTTTCCGTTTCTCATTATATGCATGTCAATAATTTTTTCAACAACCTATCCAACCAAATGTAAGTTAAGTGAGAACTGTAGTTGAACTCTCATGAGGACACTTTGTAGGCGTTAACTATTGAGGTAAAGGGAGGTAGGAATCATCCCGAGAGATTTGCAGGCATTCGTTCTTGGACTACGAGATCGTTACGCAACTGGTCCCAGATGTTAATTGTTTTCGGGTGCAAAGACACAATATTAATCCGGGTATGGGTTAGCATAATAGCAAGCAGTTGAAATCCGAAAGAAAGATTTTTCTAATAGATTCGTTTCCATACCAATCGCGCAGCCACGGTGTGGTAGAGATCAGTTGTTTCACGCAACAAAAAAATTCGTTCGCACTTGGAATAACCACTCCTAAAGTCACTAGATGTAGAAAGTACCGCAATCATCCGCCATTTTTGGGCAAATTTGCTGCCAACTTAAAAAAATTGACAAATAAAATCTGAATAGCTGTAATTTTTTATAACCTAACTTCATAGTACTGTCATGTTTTGTAAAAATGTATACAGATATCTCCAAACAGGTGGAACAATCCCTAACATTAAAGTTACTAGAATCTGGTAACTTTCGCCATTTTAGGGCAAAAATCATGCGTTCATTGCGGTACTTTCTATATTTAGTGACTTTAAGAGCCTGTTTTGTATCAATCTAGTCATTGTAGGACATTTTTTCACATAAAGTTTCAGTTATTTTATTTATGTAAATTTAAACGTTTTTTATACTTAGGAAAAAATTCTTAAAATATAATTTAATAAGAACTCTTCAGTACCGTAATATTTATGTTTAGGGATAGTCGTGAGTCATTTGGAAAAAAAGTTCATTTTTGAAAAGTCAATATTGTATTTCAATATGCAAACCTGTTGCTCAATGACGCGCAATCGTAGTAGCTGACACTTATTGAAGTGTCTGCAGTTTTATGTCTGAAGATTTGATTATCGTAGAGTAACGATGCGACTTTCGATTCTTCTTGTCTTCAGGTAGTAAAAATCTGAACCATGGAGAAATTAATTCGGGCGAAACCATGTCACTTTTTTTACGAGTAAGTAAACTGATGACGAATCCTACACACACTGTTGCGAGGAAGCTGATGGACGTGTAATACCAATAGCTAATTTTGTATAATATAAATACGTCTTCGTGCGGCACAAATGATGTCTCGACCCTAAAAATACGGGAGTAAATCAAACGCATGTCTGCCCGAAGGCCTTTACTTGGCAGTGAGATTACTAATGGAGTCACATTCTTCTATTGATATTGGCTTTGTGATATCTCGAATCCACCCCTTATTTTTGTAGTAGTAGTGACCTATGGACAGCCACGTTACAAATACAAAAGCTGCGCCGCCGCCCACCAAAGTGCCCTAAAATGTAACTATATTTGAATCATGTGGTACAATTATAAGTGATACCGTCGTGTTTGATTTAGGAAACGCTAATCCTAGCATGAATATACCGAGAATTGGTCCCCCAAATACACCGAGAAAGCTAATGATCGCTGGAAGAACACCTCCGAAGTAGGGAATAATACACGTGAGCACCACGCACAGACCTCCACATAAAAGTACAATTAACTTCAGAGCAACATTTCGGTGCTTGGCGATTGAGTCGAAGCCTTCCAGAAAATCGGTATAAATTATAGCCGCAACTGAATTTAGGCCTGTTGACAAACTACTACAAATGGAAACATTGCAAAAAGCACTACTGATTAGTAAGGACGATTACCTTAGACCTGCGCTAAAAATACCGGCAACAAATAATCCAGGCAAACCTGGAATGTGCCCTCCAACATCCATGACGAAGTATGAAACAATTTGGTCGTAATTTTGAATTTTGTTGTCTAAAAGTGGGTCGCAAGTGGAATAACGGGCGTATAGAGCCAGACCTATTAATACAACGAGCGTATTTATTGTGACCAATCCAAGATACACCAAAGCCATAACCCTAAAATGCATATTTGAGAGAAGGTAAAGAGGTGCGACTTAGGTACCTTCGAGATTCACCTTTTGTTTGAAGAGACTTTAACCGTTGAAGTGTTGGCTGTCCAACTCCGACGGCCACCAAGTAAATTAGGGTCTGCCCGAACAGGATGATGTAACTTGAGTCACGAGTAGTAAAATCAAAATCAAATCTAAAAAACTTTTGTATGACTTTGGCGAACTATTTACACTTACTGTAGCACATCCAAACGACCACCTTTGACCGCCTCGGACCAAACCGCGCCTAATCCACCACTGGTGTTGAAACCGAAGATCAGAACTACAATTAGGCATGCATTAATCAGAACTGTTTGTAGGGTATCCGTCCATACGACAGCATTGAAACCCCCCAAGCTGGTGTAACCAATACAAATCACACATACAAGGACCGCTATGAGGGTGGTCGAATAACCGGTCACTAAAATAAACCATCACTAAAACTAGTGGAACACTTGCGCCCGAAACTTACTCTGTGTTAAAATTACGCTAGGTACATAAATAACAGTGGGGCAGAATAAGATCAGCTGCGGAACGTAGAGTGCTGACGCCATGAGTCGAACTTTTCGATTAAACCTCAACTCCAAATAGTAAAAAACGCTACTGCAATCGAGATTAGTAAAAACGGGCATCGTTACGAATAGTGTGCAGATAATTACAATCCCGTGGGCCACTGGTGCCCAAAGATACATTGCTCCAAACTGGTAGATGTCAGATGGAATGCTTACCAGAGTAGCTCCCGCCACGTTGCTGAAATTTGAGTTAAATCGTGCGGTTTGATTTGCAGTTACCTTGCGACTAAAGAAGCGGCCACGGCGTAAATATTGGTCTTGCCTCCCACCAAATAATCATCCTGGTCCTTTTTTTTCTTGCGAAATCCGAAATAAACACCGATCAATACGCTGATCGTCAGTTGACCGCCAAATATTACGAAGTCTAACCAAGTAAGTCGTAAGTCGACCATTATTCTAAGGAAGGTGGATTTGGACAGAATTGTCTCCGAAACGTATGAGTGTCTCGAAATTGCATGGGATGATTTGATAGTAACTCAGATAAGATAGTTTAGTATTAGTATCTCAAGTGCAATAGCCCAGATAACTTAAAATTCAAAGATTTAAGTCGATATCTAACCTTCAACTGGAAGCATCATTGATACATTTCCAAAATATTCCAAGGCATGCTGTCTTCCTTGGAAAGTTCATCAGGCTTAGACTCGGCCATACATTAGTTCAACACAAACACAATAAACTATAAGTGGTACAATGGAGGACCACTGAAGGAATGGATAACCTCGGAGACCGTATGAGGAATTGTTTAAAACAGTTTAATATTGCATATTCTTAGATGGCATTAGTAGATTAGTACGGCCGGTTTCACTTTGACCTTGAGTTATGCGAATGCGCCAAGTTCAAGGTCATCCAATTCAGTTGTTGTTGTTGATGGAAAACCCTTAGCGATATTCCCTCTATACAGAAGATCTGTACCAGCTGCCCGTTCTCACTTAGTATATAAGCTCGTTTTAAATAGTTCCAACAGACCGACAAGATTCTTCACTTCATCTGTACGCCGCGCCGTCTCAGTATAAAAGGCAATGTTAACTTTGATCTTGCCACTCCATAGTGCTCGCTGCTGATGCCGAGATCAGGTTCAGGCACCAATTGTGTCATCGGTGGCAACTTTCATGGACCGGATTTAATAAAACTACCGACAACGTAATTTAGAATGCATGGAATTTTAATTGCCATCATCCATATTTACTAATCTCTGGCGATTGAATTCATTAAATTGGGGATTCCGCAGTAATTAGGACAGATTTATCTATACACTCCAATAGTGAGGATTTTAATTGCATTTTTACAACCCGCAATCCAGTAAAGGAGGTATTGCATTGGAGTAAAAAGTGACCCTCCATCTTTTTTTGACGAAAAACACGTTTTAAAGCACCAGGAATCCGAATCAAACAAAATCTCGATGATTTCCGTCTGTCGGTCGGTATGTCGGTCCGTCTGTACTCTCGTTTCCTGTTAAACGGCTGAACCGATTGAAGCCATGGTACCCATATTCTTAGACATAAAAGGGCAGAATCGCGCATGCGCAGGTATGCGGGTGCTACGAGCTGTGCTTGCCACAGCAAATGTTTTTCTTTCTTATCTTTCGGCTGATATTTGTGGACCACAATTTTTCCATCGGGAATAAAATGGCTGCTTCATCTACGATTAGCCCTCTTACTTAAGAGGTTGAAATCCACAATTGGATAGCGTATCACACAAAATACAAAATACTCCTCCTAATATACTCAAAATTATAACTTACGTTACTTACAAATCTTATTAACTTCACTACAAGTATATACAATTGAGATTCCCCAGTTTAATAAACCTCCAATCAAGAATGACCGACTAAACAACTAATTACAGAATCATATAAGAGCATTCCGCAAATTAATTCATATTCAGGACAAAAATTCGCACGTATAGGAACCAAGTACAAGTAAAACCTACAAGGCACGCTTACCTTGGAATAAAGATAGATGTCAACGCCAAGAGCGTATCCTGAATTTAAACTGGCACTTACAAAAAATTAAAAGTATATAACGGGTGTTGAGTTGGCGCAGCGTTCCCTCAAATCCGTAGCATAAACGGCTAACTAGCTCAGGGTTAAACACAAAATAAGAGCTTGAAAAACACACAACAGCGGTTGTTCGTTCTGGCTAAAATAATCTTCGGACTCTTCGTTGCACTTACCCAGGTTGAGAGCCTCAATTTCTAGCTTACCTCTCCCCGTATGACATTGAGAACATACGAGGGGATGAAAAAGAGTACAAATCAATTTAAGTTGGAAAATAAAGACGAGTTTACTGTAATTAAATATGAAATCAAAAATAAACTCCCCAAGGGGGTGTAGTAACAGGTAAATATTCAAATATTCCTAAAATATAAGATACATTACACATACAAAGCTTAATAACTTGAATGGACAATGTGAATCATCAATTTAACAAATCTCTAATCAAGGATGATGGTTTCTACTGACTACTGACTTCAGAACAATTTCCACAAAGAAATTAAATTCGGGCAACAATTCACACGTGTATGCCAAATACAAGCAAACATAAAAAAGGCAACACTTACCTTGCTTTAAATTGACTCCATCCAGAGATGTGAGCTCAGATCCCGGATTCTCCCATAAATCTGAAAACAAAAGAAAACTCCCAAGGCGCAGAGCTCGGTATACCCTGAAATGACATTGCCAGAAGGGCATCGCTTACCTGTAGTATGCTCGATTACAACTACGATCATTAAATATTCAACCCGCTTCAGAAGGAGCGGGAACTACCATCGCAGCCGCGCACCAACCTCCACCATAAATCGATAGAGTTGGCACAAATAATAGTAAGTCTGGACTGAAATTAACCGTTAACCTAGCCTCTCCCCCCCTTCCCCACCTAAAGAGATGATGGTCGTATTATTATAAAGTAATGCGCTCGTTATGCGCTCACATGCGCCACCGATAATAATTCTTGCGCCAAGAATTGAGAGAGGGGATTATTTTGCACGAAGTTAGGCATTCGATTAGCGACAGTGGTGCTAGTTATAGGTTAAAGATTCGCATTTGGGGAGTTATTGGAGTTTGCAGCCAAAACTCTAGTAAAATTACCGTTCGGAAATAACCGAGCTTATAAAAAACAGTTCGAAGTAGTTTTCAAGGTGACTCTGGTGTCTAATTTTTAATCAGTTGGTTTTTTTGAAAAATCATCATTTGCTCCAGTGAAAAAATTACGTGTTTCGCAACACTCAGCCTAAATTACGTGCATAAATCGCGACGAATAGTTTACAAACGAGTGCCAGTTCAGGAGTGATTAAATTCTTAGAAACCGATATCAAAGAGTATTTACGCCAATCGTGTTGATTCAGTTAGTAAAGAACACCGCCCGTCCTTATACACAAACACGTTCATCAGCAAATTCCTCAAAAACTTTACCACGTATTGGCAGTGTAGTAAAGTAAAAGGGAGGTGAATTTACGTTCATGTGTAAATCGAAATTACAACAAAGAAAACTGTTAGAAAAAATCAAATAATATTCGAGTTCATTATTCGTGCCGCTAAGAAAGAGACTATCAATGTAAAAGTTTACCTAAGAGATTTCCTACAGATTTTTTAAATCTCAAATCAAGTGTTAACTACCTAGTTAAATTGAGTGGTCAACAGAAGAACTAACATCCGGAGGCAGCCTATATCAATCATCAAAAAATCCAATCCAAAAAGCCATTATTGAAAACACCTGATAACTACCCCATTTTGATCACTCTACAAAAGTTATCCGTAAGAATTCCAGACCTTCCAAGTTGAATATAGAATATAGAAAGATCAGTCATATTTCGGTATTTTGTGAATTTCAATCGACATTTTTACGATCCGTCGTAACACCTATCGCATCATTACGAGTAAAAGTTTAAATGAGAGATCCTGAAGAGATACGAACAATGTAAAATATTGCCTTTTTAATGTTTACTGTTACTAAATGGATCTTCTGAATTTGTCAATTATAAGCTTATATGTAACTTATATGTGACAGTACGATCTATCCGATCGCATAATGAAACGTCCGGTATCACTTCCGGTTTAACCGGAAATCGATGCAACTTTTGTTTTTCAAATGGAATGGAAAATTGAAGAATACAAAATGAGAACAAATTAAATAGGAACTTGAAGGGAATTTGGGAAGAATCTTATGTACAGTTGAGGGGAAATTTGAGGAGATGTGAACGTCGTATATAATTGTTAAATAATAATAAAGAAACTGTATTAAATGCATAAAGTGGTGGATGGTGAGAGGTTGACATTTTCAGCTGTTGGCCACCATTCCAAATATTCCTCATAAGGCAAGGGTTTTAATGCCAAAAATATATGAACTATTTCGGCTCTTATACTTTAGAATCTTTGAAAGATAATTAAGATTTGTTTCTCAAACTTTTAAAAATTTACAAATCTTTAGAAAATGAGGGCCTTGAGATACTTGCAAGGCGAAATTCCAATAACTGAACGCTTTAAATTCTCAAAAATTACACACTTCCCGAATTGAGGCGAATGTTTGCAAATTTCAAACATTTGAGAAATTCTACTTCGCTGTCTTTTCTAAGATCACTAAGAAATTCCATCTTAAAACACTTAATGGGGGTTCTAAAATGTTGAAACATCTTTCACACCTAAACGTCAAATTTTAGCATTTTAGCTACATTGTTGCTTGAATAAATAATAAAAGAAGAACTGTGCTCATGAATAATGAATTACCTTCATTTCCATGCATATATACTCATCCTAATTGCAGAGTATGCGATCGCTTTGACAGCAGGCAATAGAAAACTTCTAGTCCAATAAACCATTTCAAAGCAGATTTTATTTATACGATGTTTTGACCTTTCGAGAATTATTCTATTGATCTTTGAATTCAATTTGACGTTGCCTGGGGTACTTTTAAACTGTACTACAAAGGATATTCGGGCGACCCCCAGTTCCGCGATGCATTCGATGAATTGTCCCTGCTAATAAGCGCGGCGCTAATTACTAAAAGGTGCAATTAAGGAATTTCATTATTGCGACCGATTGCTGAAAACGAGTCCCACGTTGTTTACGCAATTTCGAGGTGAATCGATTGTTTTGAAGGTATTGAACCAGCAAATTGGTTACGAATGACAAATTTACTGTTGCGAGTGTAAATAAAGCACAGTAACTCGATTATAATGAAAATACCTCTTTGATGGCTGTCTATTCTACTTGATTTTTGGTTTATACGCACTTCGTCCAAGGGAAACGAGGGATTTTATCTGGAAGGTAAATAAAGGGCACGGTTTTCGCTTATCGTGTGAATTAATAACGAATGAACTTAGTGAACTGGATTGAAAGCAACTGGTCCATTAGATTTTGAAAATTAAATCATTTACATTAATCAAGCCGCGCTAATTGCTAATGTTACCATTAATCGTAATAGTAACCGTGTCTTGCAAACAACTGTTACCGGTGGCACAAGAAAAGCTACCACATACTCAAAACAAATCAAATTCTTGAACGGATTATGTAGTTGCCTAATTTAGATTGCGAAATAAACCAAATTTTTTTAAAGACACGACGAAATTTATAGGTTTCCATTACCTATACCTTGCATTTGTCGTCTCTTTATTCGGCCACTATGGACTATGGACTAATGAGATTCTTATTGTATTGGATAAACCTGCATCCTCTGATTAATTTTTACATATATTACTATACAGGGTGTAGAAACGGGTTACGCACCATATAGGGAAATATTTTCTCCCCTAATTAATTTAGAGCAAAGTTGTAAATAGGTTTCTTGTAACTTAAAAATTTCTACATCTGCACATGTCCTCATTTATTATTTTTCAATTTGGGATACCGGAAAAAATAAATAATAATTTAGTATTTGCCTAAAAATCGAATTTTTGTTTCAATAACTTCACGGCAAGTGTGATTTTTACTAAAATCACAAATCATTTTAATTGACACTTTCCTTCATTTCTCCGATTTCCCACAACCAAAAATTAAAAATGGGCAGAATTTTACAATCTACAAAAAATTTATTTACAACTTTGCTGCAAAATTATTAGGGGAGAAAATATTTCAATATAAAAGAGTTACCATTGAAATCCATATGGTGCGTAAACCGTTTCTACACCCTGTATACATATTATATTATATTGCGAATAAATGGTACATATGGCTGTTTCAGATAATTTTTTTCAGTACGACTATCAGTGATACTGGCAATTAGAAAGGTAAACCAAACGTGTTCACATGGTGTAAGAGCTTATGTATTCTAACTGTGTGTAATTAGATAAGTTTTGAAACACTTACCGAACCCTCTAAAAAGATTTGTAACTGTAATTTAGGTAGGGGGATGTAAATACAAACTGCCCTCATTTTTCACTGTAAAATCCAACGGAGAAGAGAAAAAAGAAGATTTATACTTCAAACAAGTTTTCACATTTTCAAAACTGGGAAATTTAACATGAGTTCCTGCATGCCCAGTTAAAACTGCTGTGTAAATAAGCTGAAGAAGGGATTGGACTTTGTTAGTAGTAATAAAGTCATTCTAATTGGCGCATAAGAACAAAAGAAATCCAATAATAAACATCGAAGTGCAAATTTTTACATAGTACAGATTTCTGCTACTTGTAACAATTTAACAAAATGTCTCCAGTTATATTAATAGAAGTGTGGTTTGCTCGCAACCTTTAAATGCAAGGATACCCCCGAAAAGACTGCGTTCCGAGAAATTCGACATCATCTGGAAATTCAAAGAGGCTTCGTTTACAGTCGGCAAGATTTCAATGGGCACGATCCGTCGCCTGATTGATTGTCACTGAAAGTAATTTAAATGAAACAACACTATTGAATTTTGACATTTTCTGGAAATGACCACCGGTTAACCCGAAACAAGAGAACTATATTTGGATTTTCATTTTTTTACTTTTATGGGAATTTTCTCATATCACAAACAAAACGTTAAAACTCATGATGGCAACACAATGACATACAAAATATGAATTAAAGAATGCTAAAAAGAAAATCAAGTTATCTGAAGGCTAACAGTGCCTTATTGCACATTTCACCCCACTACAAACGGTCGAATACAAGAAATAAAGTTTCAAATGTACTCACTACTTTGTTGTAATTATCCAATTGTTCGATCCCGTCTGTACAGATGCGATTAACGGTACAACTTTCTTTTTTAAATTACCAACACTGGTTCCACGACGATTGACATTATTAAACTGGCAGCTCGGATACAAACATTAATTTTAACCAAGACATAAAATTGAAAAATCGTCACCTCGTCTATAATCTGAAATTAATGGCGTAAACACTGACTTTGGACAGCAATCGGAAAGTATTCCTGTACCATTTCTTCTTAATTGAACGGCGACACACCGGCTGACTACCGGAAAAAATGCGTATTTGAAATTTAAACGTAACGTACTGTTACGTACACTAAGTCAATTGAACCGAGACA